GAGCTCAAAATCGGATTTTAAAACGATTTTTAGTGCCTCAAAAACAGAAAACAAAAGTGACCAGTTTAATCTTGGTCACCCCTTATATGTTCTTGATCAACGTTATCGATTACGCCTCCTTTGAATAAAGTTACTCAAACAATTCTGACTTACTCAGCAACTTTTTAAGAAATTTAAGTTGAGAAACTGTCTTTTATGCACCTGATTAAGTGATTTTCTCTAGCTTCTGAGTAATTCATTTATTTGCTGAGAAACTGGCTCTTATGCACCCGAGTAAGTGATTTTCAGATACTTTTTTTAAGAAATCAAAAAAAATTTTAGTCAAAAAATGTGCTCAAAAGAAAACTTTAGTTACTTAGAAGACTCTCCACCCCCACCAAAACTTCTATCGAAAACCTCGTCTATCAGACTACAAATAATCAGATTCACAGTATATTATCGTTTAACCCCGTTAATATATTAATCGATTAATAAAATTTAATGGCGTTAACCATAGGTATTAATTTTTTTTTGCGTCTTTTCCTAAGCTTTTTTCGATTTTCTTCTGTCTCTCTGATGTAATATCAGCGATGTCTGCATCGTTTTTTATCCTTATTCCATATATCTCTTTTTTCCAAGTGTAGTTTTGTTATAAGATCGTGTTGACCTATAATTCTTAGAAAGAGTTTTCTTCTTTCTCCGTATGACGTCACATAATGTATATCAACATTATACTATGCATCATTTTCTGTAGTAGAGACTTGCACAAACGCCTTTTTTGTATGTTAATATTTTTGTCCATGGAAATCTTGCAGTGATATAAAAAAACCATGTTATCTAATCGTAAATCCCTGAATTTATTAATGCAACACACAAAAATCCAGTGTTAAAAGCGTGCACAATAGATTTATTTTATGGTGCTATAACACAGTTTAAAATGCCCTAATTGTTCTTAGTTTCACGTATTACCTTTTTATGTGTACGTCCACGCCAATTTGGAATTCATCGCTGGCTTCCCTTTCTTGTGCCTATACTTCAGTTGTTTTCGATACATAAAGACTTCGTTTGAGACACAGTAACTTGTTAAAGCGAGGTGCGTATGTCGTTCTTCCGAGTTTAGTGATCTTATAATAATCCTATTATTCTATTCGATAAGTTCATTCAGTTCACGTTTATTCATCATTCCATCGATATGAAACGATTGTCACGAACTTCAGACTTATTACATGGTAATAAGTGTTTATTTTCTCCGAAGAACAAATAGGTCCCTCTCGCATAAAATGAAAATTCTTTCTTTTCTTCCATCGCTTGCATATTTATTTTCGTATTTATGTTGTAGACAAAATTGGAATTCAAAATGATTCCGAATTGACTAACCCATATCGTGCTTTTTTTTAAATCATCTTGTAAACACTGCGCAGTAACTATTTTTTTTCATTCATCATTTTGTTTTGGAGCCGTAGAAGTGTATAAGAAACACGGAAATTTCAAAAAACTTTTGATTTTCTATTTCAGATCTTTTTTCCTGTGTTTTAGATTTAAGACTCGTCGAAGTGTGAACTTTGACTTGAGTAAATTTTCTTCCAGACAGGGAGCCTTCTTGAACTCAGGAACGCCGTGAAGTACAACAAGCAGGAAGGGGGTCCTCCGATTTCGGAGTAAATCGAGAAATTTTACGCAAGTTTTGGCATACAAAATGTTTTAGTTACAAAAAAATTCATGGGCCTATAGTTTCTGTAATAAAACTAAACATATTTTTCATTCCCGAACAATTTATGTAAAGCGAAAATATTGAAAAAAACAAACGTTTTGTGTTATCCTATGATAGCGAAGTTAAATGATATAGTGCTTGATTTTCATCCGAGGCTCTGAGACATAAACTTCTTTAAATTTAAGAGTAAAACGTACTGATTAATCGTCATGATTTGACGAATTGATTGAAAACTCGGGCCTCAAACTTTGACTTTGGGAGTAAACTGAGCAGACAAAGGCGTTTTTTACGAAGAGTCAAGAGTTTATACCGCGGGATTTGGCAGTCCAGATAATGAAAAAGAGGAAGAATGCAAAGCTTTCAAAATGCGAGCAGTAGCAGATTTTCTTGTAAACAAGAAAAAGAAAATATGTTGGTGCTTACTCTAAACCGAGAATATTTATAATGAGTAATCAACGATTGCTCGCTATGATGCATTAAATTAGAGCTCAGTAGTTTTCCTCTTTGTTTCCACATGCTGCTACCTTTATGAGCGTACGCGCGATAGTGCTGACTGTTGTTCTATAAAAAACTTTTCAATTTGGGAATAAAAGACTTCAAAAGGTAGGGTGGGGATTCCCTATCTAGTCCCGTTGTCGCGGCGTCCCTGCTTGTGCTTTGACCGCTAGATAAATAACCAAAAAGAAAATAAAGCTTGGAAACAGTTTCGAACTCATGTGTTACAAATTCATAATGAGAAAAATAATCGCACGGTAACCGTACGGTTATTCTTGCGTTTATGTACCGGTAACCGGTGGTATTTTGCCGGTATTGACCACATGAAAAGACTAAATTAGAATTTCAACCTGGCCTGGAAGAATTCAGAATAGAGATACACGCACATATTCTTCTGATTCAGAACCAATTCGGAATGACCCTAAGTTAAATTAGAAAAAGCATCGATTTTCGTTAAATATGTGAAGTTAATTATATTTCCTTTTGAAATAGATATAAATTACTGAATGGCATTTGAAGCAGTAAGAGTAGGTGAAATTGTCACTCATCTAAAACTTCTAATTGTTAACTTCACGTGGTTTTATCTGATACATCGATGAAGAAAATTTTTAATCTGAACTGCAGAAAAATTTTTGCTATTCATAGAAAGATAATTAAAACGAAGAACTGTTCATAAATATATTCATCTAATGCAGATCTTTAATGTACAGCCATTAAGTAATATCAATTTGTAACATATATAGTTTTTATAAGACGTTATTTGAAAGAATTAGAAGAACTGAAATAACCAAATTTTCCTCTGTTATACCAAGTCTGATGCTTTATGTGTCTGTACTTCATTGTTTAATCCCGCTGTTGCAAGTATATAGGTGAAAGTTGAATTAGTGACACACAGGAAATGTTATCATATATATTTAACATTACTTCGAATCGAAACAATTACTATCAAAATAATTGTTCAAATATGTGGATAAGGAATGATTCTCGGAAAGCATACCGCAGCACAGTAGATAATAATTTACACTATTTGTTTTAACACCATGACGTAAATCTGTTGTACACAATTTTAAACATTTGGCCATTTTCGTATGCGAATATGAATAAGATTCCGTTGATTGTCTAGAAAAAGAAAAGTATAAAATCACATTTATTTCTTGTACATCTAGTAGTATAATAGACCGTAAAAATAAGCTGAATCTTCAGTCCGAATATCCAGTCAAACTCGAGACAAAAACTGGAAAAAGGTTCTCTTCAGACGATGTCGTCCACGCTGTCATTTTATCAGTATAACTTTGAATGAATACTTGACTTAATTGTATTAAAAAAATTGAACTTAAGATAACTAAAGAAATGTCTCAAGTCAGTACTAAAGTACAACAACACAGGACTGGAGACCTCGTCTGATTGAGCAAATTGAGCCCGTCGCTAAAGTTGGATCAAAATTTTCATGCAGGGAAGGCTATGTAAATATGTTTAACGCAACATTCTTAATAATTCTGTGAAAATTATTACTGCTCTAAAAAACTTTAAGTCAGCCTATTATCAATCTTGAACATGAAATAATAAAAAAATAGGCCGTAGTGTAAAATGTTAAGCTAAAGCATAGGATCGGAGTGAATTGCAAATCTTTGCAGAAGACTGCAAATAGTAGAACCAGTAGTGATGTAAACCCTTGCTTGATTGATTAACTTGAGATTTTTAATAAAACAACACCCAGACATGCTTTTATCAAATTAGTGGAATAAATGAGCATTGAAAGTAAAACAATTTTTTCATTAATCATTCTCAACTATGAATGTTTCGTTAGACTTTTTGCTGTAATTGCATTTGGTTAATATCATTTTTACAGCAGTCTACAGCAAAAATAGTTTAATAATGAATAAACACAATTTCAGTGATAATATGAGAGTGTATGGTATTGATATCATGTCAAATATGCTCAAAAGTATAATACATCTCAGAAAGAAACCAGTATATGTATATGTATGTACTAATTGAATTGATTGCAAAACCATGCTGATAATCAAATCAACAATCACTATGCTTTTTCTCTTCTCTCGCTGTAAACAGATTTAATATCCTGCTAATACATCAATTATTCTTTCCATCATTCGGATAAGAAAAAACCCTAGACAATAGACAAAGTTTACATCGACCATTTATTTTTCTACATTTTGTACACTATATTACGTTAAAATTTTCTTTTCTCTTTTTTCTCTTCTCCGACATTGAAAAACATAAGACTTCGTGCAAATATATTGTCATCAGTGGTTTCTTTTTTTCCTCCAAGAACTAGATGCAAATATCGCCTACATATAAACATTTCATATATTTCTCTCATAACATGGTTTCGACGCCTAAATGATGATTATGGTGACTGGTTTTTTTATTTAAAAAGAAAACCGTCATTTTCCCGATACCTTGCTATTAAAATATGTTTTCTTCTTTCCATCTTTTTTCTGCAAGGATATACAAAGTGTTTTCTTTAGAACAGAAAATTTTTCTTTTCTTATTTGCTGTTCCAAATAGAACTCTTAATACTTATGAGATAGATAAAGTGAACATTTTTTGCGTACTTATTTGTAATTTTCTTTAAAGACGTTCAAGTTTCTTTTAAAAGCCAACTTGTACACAGACATCTTTACTAATTAACAAATGGTAAAATTTCGATTAGAGTTAACAAATGAATTACTCGATTAGTTTCGTGTAATATGTATCTTTAACACTATTTTTATATGATTATGAAGTGATTTATGTTCATTTATCGTATAGCGACAATTTATATTACTTGTAGATTCGTTAGAAGAAAAAAAAAATGGTCAGAAATAATCATGGCCAAAAGATACTTGGAAAATTATTTCAGTTATATTTACCCAAAACTCATCGAACCTATAGTTGTATTCATTGTCGAGCACAATTGGCAAATCATGATGAGCTAATATCAAAAGTAATGAGCTTTTCTCAAGATATATATTATTGTTGTGTAATCTTGTACTTTTCGTTTTTATTTTCAGTCGTTTCAAGGTAGCCAAGGACGAGCTTATCTATTTAATTCCGTGTAAATATCCATTGTAGAATATTCTATTAGGAAAATTCAGTTTCCGTTTTTTTTTCTAGTGTTAATGTGAACACAAGTACTGCTGAAGAACGTGTTTTATTAACTGGACTACATGAAGTAGCCGATATTTATTGTGAATGTTGCAAAACATTACTAGGATGGAAATATGTAAGTTTTTTTTATAACTTCATTCATCATCTGCAAAAAGTAAATACATTTTTATCTTAGACGATTATATTCATCGGGTAATAGTAAAACATGAAGACACCCACAGACAGCACACAGACATCCACAGACAGCCACAGACAGCACACATACAACCACAAACAGCCACAGACAGCTACACAGACATCCATGGATGTCTGTGTATGGATGTCTGTGTTTGGATGTCTGTGTGGCTGTCTGTGGTTGTATGTGGGCTGTCTGTACAACTGTCTGTGACTGTCTGTGTGCTGTTTGTGGGTGTTTGTAAGTGTCTGTGGGTGTCTGCGGGTGTCTTCATGTTTTACTATTACCCTATATCCATCAAAGTCGTCACATATTTAATTGAAATAGAATCCTTCTTTATTAGATCTATTTTTATCGACAATTAAGATAACGTGACATGCAGTGTTAAGTCTAGACCGATAAGTAAAATCTGTCTTTTTTCCAATCAGTGTTTAAAACTAGGCCACTAGTCAACAATCAGCTCGATCTGAAAAGCTGAATCGGTCATGCAAATTTTATCAGAACTGAATTAAACCATATTAAAATGTGTGTGCTCTCATTTAGAGATGGAAATGCTGATCTACTCTGGATCTATTAACGAAATCAGGGCTGAATGTGTCTGAAAGTGATAATGCCAGAGCTAATTCCGGTTAGGTTTTCTAGGTCTGAACTGCATCAGCTATGAGAAGAAAAAGGTTCCCGTAAAAGAACAACGATTTCTAAACTCTGAGAACAATTTAGAATAGCACGAAAACAGATAACTTTGGCTATCACAAATATATGAGGACAATGTAACGTTGAGTAGGAGAGATTAATGTTACTATGAAACGTACTTTTAAAGTCCACAGCATTAGATTATTATCTACGTTAGGTTTGAAAGTATTGACAAGGATATTTAGCTCTGAAGTGAGTAGCAAAAACGAATAACTGATTTATCTTTTCAGGCTGAGCTGATTGTTGACTATATTTGTATCGAGATAAAAAAATTGATTAAAATCAAATTTATTTCGTGTTTTATGCAAAATTCTGTCAAATCAGATACATTTCTTCCAATCACTTTTTTTTCAAGTTTCAAGTTAATCAATTTTTTCTCTCAAACGTCAGCAATTTATTCTTCATTTAAGGGTCTCCCTCCCCTCTAAAATTTTTTTTTCCCAGAACACTCAGTCTTACTGAAATCTTTATTTAATATCTATCTGACCATTGATAGTTCTCAGTAAAAATTTGAGCTCATAATATTGAGTTTTTCGCGAGTTATTGTAACATCAAGGGTCAAAAAGTAGGTGTCCGTGTGTCAAAGATTTTGTTTTCAATTTTAACGATACGGACCTCGGG